GGAGAAATACCAGAAAGAAAAATGCCAGATAATTCCTGGGCGTTTAAAAAATTTCTCCTGCCAATAAAGAGGAGACTGCCATGTGCCTCCGACATGCTTCATACCCTGTATTCTCCTTTCTGAAAACTCCAGCCAGAAAGGGAAAGGGAATTTCAAAACACCTCATCTTTGTCAAGGTGCTTTGATAAAAAGTGACAGAAACCCACTCAAATGAGCTTACACAAAGAGGATGAGGGAGAGGGAGGATCACAAGTATCTCAAGAACCCGAAGGCAGGACACATGTGTAGCTGGGAGGTAGGACAGAAGCATCCCTACATCTACCCCGTGTTTCCCAGGGTGACCTGCTGATCTCTCCTTCCCTCTGAATCGCCATCTCTACAGAGCTTGGGTTCTCCGTGCATACAGCAGGAGGCTGTTGCCCCACAATGCCCCACTTTAGTTGAAGCACCCATCAGACTGACCTGTCTTAACCCCAATTCCTGGAGAGAGAATCTTGGGACTAGCTGTCACCCCAGTCCAGTCAGCTCTGGCCCGTGGGTCACCCAGACCAAGGCACCTATTGGCACTGGAGGGAGGAAGGACGTGGACTAGGCAGACACCCGTAGTGTCTACTGCAGTCCACGAGGGGCCACTGCAAGGACGTAAAAACTTTCCTCTCACCCTTTCAACCTCTGTCTCACTGGATAATAATAGCCCAGTCACGTCTTCATTCATTCGCCCATCAATCAAACATGCTGTAAGCACTGGCCACGCGCTGGGTGCTGTATTGGGGGGAAAAAAAACATGAATAAGACACAATTCCTGCCTTTTTTTTTTTTTTTTTTACTGTCAAGCAAAAGAGCATCTATAAAATCCTCTCAATTCCTTGAACAAATGAAAGTATTTTTAGTTCGAGGAATATGTCTGTTCTCCTTAATGGCCAAAACATTCTGAAATTTCCCATATCTCCCAAATCAATTTCTTATTTCTTCCATTGTGTGACTGAGTGACAGTCAAGCTATCATCATCTTCTATGTGCCAGCACTCTCAGATTAAGACAATCAAGGTCAGCCTGGATTTAAAAAAAAAAACCTGTTTCTTAACAATAATTTAATTACAAAGTTAGGCTTTAAGAGAGACTCAAGCAGTATATAAAGACTTATGTAAAATTAATATTTTACTTTAGTGTAATTTTTAAAACTTAAATGAATGTCATCTTAGGCCGCTTGTCATTACTACTATTGGGACAACTACTGTTTAATTTCTTGGGTTTTGCTTACTACGGTCAGAATGGTGAGATTTTGGGGGAGCCCTGTTCCTTCTAAGGGGACTCTTCAAATCCAATGAGCTTAAGTAAGCATGGGACTAGACCCTCCTCAAGACACCACAGGTACAAAGTCTCGTAATTCGGACACCATGAAACTGGACGTCTGTAATAACGCAAACAAGGGCTGGGCTACGGTGTGCCTTTTCATTGTTTGTAAAGAAAAGATTTGCTCAGGAAATGAATAGTGTACCAAAATTTATCTAAGGGGGAAAGTTTAGCCTGGTGAATCCTTCTGTAAGTAATTACAGTTTCCAAATATTTGCAAGCACTCCAGAGAACTATGTATTCATAAATCATTGATAGGTTAATTGGAAAGAATTTTAATGTACTCGTCAAATATGATTCCCTCAGGACTTCTGCTAGGCAATGTTTTGCCATCCTGGGCCTAATTGCTGTGGATATTTAAAAGAAATAAACATTGTACCTCCTTTTTTTAAACTGAATTTCAATCATTTGTTTGAATTAGTGAGAGATACAGATGTGTTTGTGGTGTGTGTGTGTGTGTGTGTGTGTGTGTGTGTGTGTGTGCGCGTGTCTGTAAATATTTGGAAATCCCTCTCAGCCTTTCCTTATCTAACTTGCCCTTCCTCATCCCAGTAATCTGACAGGGGTGAGGATGGGGTGCCCAGCTGACCAGGCTGGGATAGGGGTACCCAAATCAAGGAGGAGCAGAACATTAAGTATAGAAAAACTAGCGTCCACGAAGTCCCTCATTAGTCCTAAGGAATTCTAGGTTCAGACCTAGCATTTTTCTAGAAAGTTGAGAAAATGGAGTATAGCAGGGAAGGGTGTGGAGTTGAAGGAGGCTCAGGGAGAAAGGGTCCCAGAGCGCCCACGGCTGTCACAGCTAGTTTGTGTGAGCACCCAGAGAGCCCTTGGCCACTGTCTAAAGAGGTATCTCAAAAGCAATTTAAATGACTAAATGTTCTGATAGAAATTCTGGAAGCAACAAAGCCACTAAAAAAAGGCAATAAAATTCTTCTTTCTTCTTACCTCCTACCTTACCCTTAGAGCAGATGTGAGAAAGTTCAGTTCCTGCAACCAAGATCTTAACAATGCAGGTGACATTTTCAGTTGAAGCAGCTGAAAGGAGAAACAGGCCAGGCAAACACTAACATGCTCAACCCCAATCACATCTGTCCTTGGTGGGATTGGAAGAAGAGTGTCTGCACATTTTTTTCTTTTGGCTTTTAATTTATTCTTATTTATTTCCTTTTTATTCTTTGGTGCCATAAGTCCATATAGCTCCCTTTAAAATTTCTCGAAACAGCCATTTGTGGAATGAAGCCGAGATTGGAGGAAATTTATGGCAGAGAGTAAGCGTACAATGCTCTTCACAGTCTTCGCTTTTCCAAAATGCTCATGCGTTTTCCACTAAACTATTTCAAAGGTGGTTGGGTATATTTTATATGGATTATAAACAGTGAGAATCAAAATCCTGGGAAACTTATAGACCTGGTTCAACTTAAACAACGAACCCTCCATTCTTAGTTTTGTTATAGAAATGCAGTGACTATATCACTCTTTTTAAAACTAGCTTTCGTTAAGTGATTTTTGAAGAGTTTTGAATTCTAAGAAAGAGGTCTCTGTGTCCACCAGTAACAATTTCATTAATACTAAAAGGCACACGTCCTTTAAAATGTGGCAAGACCTACTTTCTATATTCCATGGGCAGAAGGGACTAGAATGAATATACTGGATTCTCGACTTTCTACCGCGTTATTTCAGTTTCCTTGAAAGGCTGTGCCACAGAAAGGAATGTAATAAAGAGGGTTAATGTTCAAGCTACTTTGAGTGAATATTTCAACACCATGTGATTTAAAATTCTGAGAAGCACAGATGATTGATCAAGTGCAAGAATTGTGATGGATAGAAGACCACATGTGAAGGCTGAGCCCAATTACAAACATCAAATACCACTTAGATTAGCATCCACTACATTGTTGTTTTGGTTATTCGTCAAGGAGTTAATGGTGATAACATCACAGTTCAATCATCCACCCATCTCTTCTGTGAAAGACTCATCCTCTCCACCTTCTTTCCTCCTTTCGACACAGCTTGATTGATTAGGGCATGAAAAGTTCCGTGGCATCTCCCCACTCATTCCAGAGGATCTTTCCAAGATCCCTTATGATACTGTGGTTTACGATAAGAAATCTATATTTCAATTTCATTCCTAAAAGTCTTTGAATTTCCTCTGATAAAAGCCATAAAGTTGTCCTTTGTTATGTTAACAAGGTGACTTTTGGAAACCATCTAAGGATGAAGGCTGGTTGGTTGCCAGTGGAGCCAACCATGTAATTAGAAGTTTGGGACTTTCGGCCCCATCCCCCTGACCTCCAAGGAGGGGAGAGGGACTGGGGATTGAGTTCAATCACTAATGACCAAAGATTTAATCAATCATGCCTATGTAATGAAGCCTCCTAAAACCAAAAAGGATGGAGTTTGGGGGAGCTTCTGAGTTGGTGAACACGTGGAGACATGGGGATAGTGGTGCTCCTGAAGAAGGCACGGAGGCTCTGTGCCCTTTCCCCATACCTTGTCCCTGGATGTTTCTGTAATTGGATATTCCAAATTACATCTGGATATTTCTGAGTTATGTACTTTCGTAATGAACTGGTGACCTAGTAAGTCAAATGTTCCTCTGAGTGCTGTGAGCAGCTTTAGCAAAGTAGTCAATCCCAAGGAGAGAGTCGATGGAATCCCCAGTCTATAGTTGATGGGCTGGAAGCACAAGTGACAACCTGGACTTTCGATTGGCATCTGAAGAGGGGAGGGTTTTGAGAGGGAGCAACAGTCTTGCAGTACTGAACCCTGAACTTGGTCTAGACCCTGGGCTTTCTCCCCACTCCACTGAGTGCCTCATCTTGTTTTGTGCAGCCCCTGTCCTGATAAGGCAAAGACCGTCTCTTGCTCCTTCGGGCACCTCAGGACCTGGGCCCTCCTGTGTCTACACAAGAGAACTTTGGATCTACACAATGGTTTGTGAGTTTGTTCGTGAGCCTATGAAAGTAAGAAAGAAATTTTTACTGTCGAAATTCTTCTGTTTCCTGGTTCCTAGGAGAGGACTTCCAAAAGGAGATAATAACTTTATCTTAACTTCTGAACAGAATAATGTTCATGAGTCCCTGACTCCAGAATATTTTTGGACACCTGTTACACATCAGGAATTAAAATATGTAGGCAATGAGATATGAGGCAAGTAAGACAAAGATGCCCCCTACTCTCAAAAACCCAGCATCCAACCAGTAAATATAATACAGTAAAACTCAAATGGATAGAAGTACATACGTGCAAGGTATAGGGATCAAGGAAAGTAATGAGAAGAACATTTGCAGGTGATCATTTAGTTATGAATTTATCTATGCAACTATAAGTAAAGGTATTTGAACATCATGCACAGCGTATATAACTGAATCTATGGGTCTGATGTTTTCTTAATCAATTTCTTCCTAAAGTGACCTGAAATCACATAGCATTAAATAATTATGGAATGAGTGAATAAACACATAAACAAAAGCGTTAATCTTTCTATTTTATAAGCATGGGATGAGATTCCACCCATTTTAAGTTCATTTACTGCAGTCACCTCCCAGGCTAAGTTCTTTTTCAAAGACCCAGGCATGGAGATTTTTGTTCCCAGTGTCATCTAAAGGTAAACAGAAATTACCGCATTTGAAATGAAAGGAGAGGGATCACTTCGTTCTCCGTCTCTTCGGATCCACCCCATTGCTTTAGGCCTAGCACCCTTTTGCAGCCATTTGGTTCACGTGTGTCACCACCGTTTCCGAACTTCTCACCCCCTTACTGCCTGGGACTCTCATCTGGCCATTTTCTTGTCTCCTTGACAAGATGGTAAAATCATGGAGAACATGAGATTTTGTCCCGACGCTTCGTACGTTGAAGTCTCTCCAGAAACGTGGGTAAGAGGTGAGGAGACAAAGCGGCAGCAGAAACACGTGAAAAGATGCTCGACATCATCGGTCAATGGAGAAATGTAAATCAAAACCACAGGGTGATAACAATTGACACGAGGGCTGTTCAAATTTAAAAAAAGAGAGAGAGAGAGACAATAACCAGTGTTGGTAAAGATATGGAGAAATTAGAACCTTCTTCATTCATTGCTGTTAGGAATATAAAATATTACAGTTACTTTCGGTAATTGGTAGGTTCTAGACAAAGCTTGTGACCCAGCTATTCTACCCTTAAGTATGGACCCAAGAGAATAAAAATATATGTTCAGACAAAAATATGGACACCAATGTTCATAGAAGCATTATTCATAATAGCCAAATGTGGAAATAAACTAAATTGCTGGATAATATTCCATTGTTTGGAAATACCACATCACCTATCCAAATGACGAGTGGAAAACCAAAGTGTGGTATATGCGCATAATGGAATATTAGTTGGCATTGAACAAGGAATGAGGTATTGATATATATTAAAATATGGATGAACCTTGAAAACATAATGCTAAGTGCAAAAAGCCAATCACAAAAGACAAAAGATTGTATGATTATATTCATGTGAAGTGTCCAGAACAGGCAAATCCATGGAGACAGAAAGTAGATCAGTAGTTGCCTAGGGCCAGGAGGAAGAGAGGGGAATGGAGAATGACTTCTAAGGGAAAAGGTTTCTCTCTGGAGTGTTGAAAATATTGTAAAATTAGATCATGGTGATGGCTGCACAACTCCGTGAATATACTTTAAAAAATCACTGAATATTTTAATGGGTGAATTTCATGGTATGTAAAATATAAATATCAATAAAGCTGTAAAAAAAAAAAGAAAAAATGCTTCATGTGACTTAAGCTCAAATTAGATACATTCTTGAATGTAAATACTAACGTAATAAATAACACTCCCGTTCTGCCTCATTCGAGCAGCATTTTCTAAAGGCAACAAATTCCCTTGTTTTGCCCACTCCGGGAATTAAAATCTTGAATTTGACAGATAGGATGGAGCCACCCAGTTCAGAAAATTATCCATAACAATACTTACGGATTTGGTAAGAATAACTGAATTTACGCCACGCAATGAAAACTAAATGTAGTTTCGATATAATTGACTTAAGTGTAATTATACACCCCAAATGATAATGATATAGAGTAGGAGGAAATGAACTTAGAGTTAGTAATTTGACTTCCCCACTTGGGACAATGTGAGAGCAAGAAAATATTTTCTGGGTTGGTCCAGCCAGATTTTTCCCTGCCCTGATTCACGCTGGTTCTGGCGGGTGTTTGCGCGCATCCCATAATGCTCTCGTCTCGGTCTGGCCAGTTCTCAGATGTCACTTTCTGGTCGCAGAGACTCTATTATTTGCAGAAATTTCTCATCGTCTGCTCAGACTTTACGTATCCTCCAGGACTTCATCGGCAGCATATCTAAAACAATATGAACACCCCCCTCCCCGACGATTTCTTACTGCCCCTATAATGGCTCGTGGTTCTCTCGTGGCACATGCTGGACCGTCAGCGGCCACAGCACCCCCAGCTGTCCTTTGAGGTCCTGCATTCTGCCCCAGGCTGAAGCCTGGAACATTCGTCTCCTCTGGGCAGGAAGAGCAATTTTGTTCAACCTGCCTCGGAATCCATGTTCGGGGGCCTCCTTCCAGACATTTCTGGAAACATGCTAGCACAGAGGCTGGCCCTGGACGGTAACTGCTTTGGCTGCACTGCAGTACTTGGGAAAGAGGGAACAATTGGGCTGCTGCATGAGCATCCTTTCTCCCCTTACTCCCACCCTCTGTTCTCCTGATGCCATCTTTCCAGGCTCTTGGTTCTCCACGGGCATCGCATCTGCCCAGGGCTCCCCACGTGATGAGTTCCTAAGTAGGGAATTCATATCCCGAATTTTGCCTCAAGTCTTTCGGGTGAAAGCAGAAAACTGGACTCGAAGGCAGAGCAAGGAGAGTGGACATCAGAGGACCCAACAGGGCAGCAACACCTAACACCCCCGGAGCGTAAGCAGACTGAAGAGTGGGGTCAAGGCAACATGTCCTGCTTTCTAACTGCCTAAACGCTGATGGCAAAAAATTTTAAAAGAGCTGAGTGGTTCCGCTGCACATTTATGTTTTCCGACTCACAGCTGGGTTCTGAATGCTTCTTGAAGATGATTTTCCTGATGGCCACATGATTTCCTTTCCATCCCTCTCTGCAGCTGCCACGAGAATCCACTGCTTCTCTCAGCTCCTGCCCTCCACCCTACTCGCTTCTCTCCCCACCGCGGCTCTCGCATCCGGTGCTAAGGAGATGCTACGAGCTGCAGCCTCCATCAGCATCTCTCCCTTCTGCTCCGAGTCCTTTCCTCTGCTCTGCCTTGAGGTCACCCCTTCTTCTGGTCTCCCCCAGGGAAGAGTCCTGAACACCATCGGAGATCAGTCCTCCACCCCTTACAGGATAAAAGGGCTAATCATGGTCGGGGGATGCAAGTCCTGACACCGCTCCTTACCAGCTTTGCAGCCTTGGGCAAGTGCTAGCCTCTCGGCTTCAGTCTTATCATCTATAAAATGGGAGTAATAAGAGTGCTTAATTTACAGAGTGATTGTAAAACTTTCATTAGTTTTAACTTATTTATCTGGGTAAAGAATTTAAGACCATGCCTGGCACATAATAAACCCTACATAAGTGCTTTCATCATTATTATTGTGTTCTCGCATTGAGTATTATATGAATGGGTGTTATATTACATACACAATGAATGTGTTACATTACATACACAGTAGTTACTAATGTATCCATAATAGTTAGCAGTGTCCTACGGCACACCTCCTTCTCTGGCTTTCTCCTTCTCAGCCCCCTTGTGAGTTTCTCTTCAGTGCCCCCCATGAATGTTACGGGGACAGACACTGGATTGATGTGTATACAGCGAAGGAACTTGAAGGGCTGCTGGCAACACCAGAAGCTAAGAGAAAGTCATGGAAGAGATTCTTTCTCGGAGCCTCTAGAGGGAGCAGGGCCCTGCTGGCACTGGGATTTCAGGCTTCAAGCCCCTAGAACTGGGAGAGAATGCATTCCTGTTGCTTTAAGCCACCCAGTTTGTGGTCCTTTGTCATGGCAGCACGAACACAGAGATGATGAAAATGTTTTATATCTGCACTGTCCGATATGGTATCCGCTAGCGACACGTGGCTACTGAGTACTTGAAATGTATGACTGAAGAACTGCATTTTAAATTTTATTTCTCTTTAATTAAATTTAATGAGCGGCAAGTGACTGGCGGCCACCGACTTGGACAGTGCACCTCTGGATCCATATCCTACGGCCGCAGAGCAGTTCCTCATGGATATCGCGTGAACAACGCAAGCTCACTCAGCATGTTCACGACAACTGTCTTGTCTTCCAAGCTTCTCTTCCTCCTGTCTTGGCAAAGATGCCTCTTTCACAACCCAAAACATGGGTGTCCTTTTTGGCTCCCCTTCTCCCTTGACCCCACATGCAGTGAGTCGGCCACGTCTACCTCCCAAAGATTTTGGTTCACAGGATCACAATGCTTATCACGGCCGGGGGGGGGCGGGGGCGCGGTTCCTGATCTGGTCCCTCCCAACTCCTGCCTGGCCATGCCCACGTGACCTCTAAGCCCAGTTTTGTGCTTTTTTTGCAGTCTTCCCCCTCATCAAATCTCTTATCCTGGCTAAATTCTTTTAGGGCTCATCCTCTCCTCACTGGAACCCCAAAACTAGATTATACACCCTTTTAATGCTCTTATAAATCTAACCTATCCTACTGCAGGGTTAACAATGTACTGAAGTAACCACGGCCTTTGTCTTGCCTGCCTCTCCGTTATCAGCTGTATCTACAGGACCCAGCACAGTGCCTGACATACACTGAGCACCCTATAAATATTTGGATGAATGAATGAATGAATGAGTCATTAATAAATGAATGAGTCATGAACGAATGAGTGAAAAACACTAAATAGTACAGGTTATCGGGAAAAAGTTTTCAGTGTTGTTACTAATTATGGATACAAGAAAAAAATATAGAATAGATTACAAATTCGCTTTGGTGGCATTCAAGTGATACTAATTACAGTTATTTATGTGAAATCTTACTTTTTATGCCTAATTACCATGTGCTAAAAGGATTATATATATCATTAGAAGTGTCAGATCAACTTGGTTGGGTTTTATTACATTATAATAGTGAATTGTGCACATATGCTTAGACCACATAAATTATTGTGGATGTAGCTGATTGTTCTCGCTCTTGAAAAAGTTTCTTTCTTCTATTCCTCATTCCATATTATCTCCAATATCAGAGACACCATGAAAATAAGCAGTGGGCAGAGAAATAGGCAATCACTTTCTGACCATGTAGAACACAAAGCAATTATGAGCCGACTGTGATGATGATACTGTTAATATTTTACTCATCATTATATTACACTTGACAGCTACAGAGGGTTTCAGGGGCATCAATTTATTTAATCATCTCTTCAATACTGCAAATAATTAAAATTCTCCGAGTTTTAGTGAGCTATTCTAATAAATGTCAGTGTCAGGAAAACAGCTCTGATCAGGTTTGGACAAAATGGGGCTCAGAGTTAACTACATTTGAAATTATGCTGACTAAGGTTTGTATAAACATTTTCATGCACATTTCTATGTACCTCTCATCAGGGATTTTAATATTATCATCCCCTTTCTGCAGAGAAGGCAACCAAGGGTCAGAGAGCTTGAGTAACTTGCTCAAGGTCTCAGGGATGGTAAACACGGACTTTTGAACTTGAGCTCATTGGCTCAAGAACCCAAGCTTTTTCCCACACCACCGAGTCTATGCCTCATGACCCATATTTTATCAGGGAAGTAGGAATAAAGATATCTCCTAGTCAGGGGGTGCTAGGCTGAAGGATTAGGAGAAAGAAGTGGAAAAGATTTCAGACAGCTGCCTTGGGGGTCACCGAAGGATCCAGTCTGGGCAAAGTATAAGAATTTCCAAGCATTCCTGAGAGGCCGGCTGAAAATATCTCTCTTCTATCATGTGGTGGATTAAAGATGAGGTCCTCCCCCACTGAGAGGGGCACCTGTCTCCACTTGCCTTGACTCTGGCTGGCCTGTGACTGCATCGGACGCTGGAGCAGGAAGGTGACGCTTCTTGATTTCCAAGGGGAGGCTGCAGGATGCTTGACATTTGGCCCCGAGCAGCCATGCCAAGGCTCAAAAGTTGGCACGGGCGACAGTCCCAACTGGGTCCTGCCTTCCGGCCATCCCTACTGAGGTGCCAGACTCATGAATGAAGCTGTCTTCCACCCTCCAGACCAGCCTAACTGCCGGCTGAAGATCACCAAGCAGCCTCAGCCAATGCCACATGGAACAGAATAACTGCACAGCCGAGCCCTGCCCAAATGTCTCACTCACGAAATCACAAGGTGTAATAAAAATGGCGATCGTTTGAAGCCAGTAAGGTTTTGGGTAGCTTGGTACACAAAATAACTAGGATATGTCACAAGTTCATTTTATAGTTTTCTTCTCTTTCTGGTGCCAAACGAATAAATAGCCAAGAGCCAGGCTAATAAATGATCATAATTAAACAAACAAGCTCTTCAGTTTTTCATATGACAACCACCCCCACCCCCCCCACACACACACACATAAAAGATCATGGAAATTTTGTATTTCAGATGAATAGTCTTTCAATGGACTTATTTGAAAGGCATTAAATAACTTTTTTTTTGAAAGTTATCAAACACTGATTAAAAAAATGTCTGAGAACACAGCCTATGACAAGTAGAACAGACATTCTTTTGATAATTTTACCGTTTCCATTTTATACAACTAACAGCTTCTTCGCCGTTCGGCTCGAATTTGAAATGGAAACAAGAGATGACATCTGTTTTCTCCATTTAATAACACCCGGATACACGTGCGCTTCTCACACATTATTTCTCGCCTTACTCAGGTTTACCTTTTGATGATGCTAAGGTGAAAATGGCATTTTTTATAGACCCGTCTTACAGCGGAGGCCAGAATGTGGAGTGGGGAGGGAATGATTCTCACCTCAGCGGACAAAACAGTCACCCCGACCATGCAATTAACAAGACGCAGATGAAAGCCGCAGCTGTTTGCAAAAGCACCCGCAGCATTTCTGACACGGCAGGCTGTGCTGGTGATGTCAGACGGCCTTCTTAAACAAAAGTGAAACATGAGAAGGTGAAAAATTTGATGACTGTTGGAAGATGTTTTCCCTGGTTTCGGGAACTGTATTCTTAAATAATGACATTTTCCACACTTCTGGATGTGCCCCCAGGTCTTTGACCGTCTGTGATTCTTGACAATCCTTCACAAAGCCTACCAGTTGGCTCCCTGAGTCCTTGCTTATCTCACCCCCCCACCCCACCCCACCCCGCCTCATGCAAGTCGCCGGGCAGGGAAAATGACTCACGGGCTCTAAAGAAAACCTCATTCATTGAATTAGACATTGGAAAAGAACCTAAATGAGTCACTGTACCCTTCACTGCTCAGTAGCGCCACACCTAGCCGACTCCAGCCAGAGAAGGAGTCATAGTTTTAATAAGCTGGTCAGAGAAGGATCATTTACAACAATAATAAGTGCCATTCCTATACGTACTTACATTCCAAAAACAACAACAAAGCATGCCAAAGTAGAACCCCAAAGTACAAACTAAAGAGAACTATGCAAAGTCAGGAGCCCAGTTTATAACAGCGCCTGGGTGCAAATTAGAAAAAGGGGGCCCCCAGGGTGAGGAAATGGGGAAGAGTCCCCCGCAGGGCAGAAGCTGCCCAGAGCCTGTGTGCAGAGCTGGGCTCGCTCAGCAAATGGGGTCAGTCCC